AGATAGATAGATAGATAGATAGATAGATAGATAGATAGATAGATAGATAGATAGATAGATAGATACCTGCAGCAGCTCTAGGAAGAACTCCCCCGGTAGTTCTGAGTCTTTTAGCTCGGCCAAAAGCTCTGTGAGGCACTCCAGCCTCCACTGCTCCCCGGACAGCTTCTCAAACAGCTCCTCCTCCTCCTCCTGGTCCTGGTCCTGGTCCTGGTCCTGGCCCTGGCCCTGGTCCTGGTCCTGGTCCTGGTCCTGGTCCTGGTCCTGGCCCAGCTCCACACCGCCCCCCTCGCCCAGGCGGAAGCGGAGGCCTTTTGCCGGATGGCCGCTGCCGGGCTGAAGGCCGGATAATCGCCTCAGGGCCGAGCGCCCAGCAGGACCGGAGCAGTGGCCAAGGAACCACAGCAGGACCTCCCTACAGGGGGCGCTGTGGGGCACGGAGGGGTGGGTTAGGGGAGGCCCGGGGGACCTAACAGACCTCCTATCAGACTCCTAACAGACCTCCTAACAGACCTCCTATCAGACTCCTAACAGACCTCCTAACAGACCTCCTATCAGACTCCTAACAGACCTCCTAACAGACCTCCTACATACCTACTAAAAATTTCCTAAAACCTCCTAACAGCCTCCTAACAGACCTCCTAACAGACCTCCTACATACCTACTAAAAACCTCCTAACAGACCTCCTTTAAAGCCTCCTAACAGACCTCCTAACAGACCTCCTATCAGACCTCCTAACAGACCTCCTAACAGCCTCCTAACAGACCTCCTATCAGACCTCCTAAAAGACCTCCTAAAAGACCTCCTAATAGACCTCCTATCAGACCTCCTGTCAGACCTCCTAAAAGATTCCTAAAAGCCTCCTACAGACCTCCTAACAGCCTCCTAACAGACCTCCTAAAAGCCTCCTAACAGACCTCCTAACAACCTCCTTAAAGACCTACTAAAAGCCTCCGATCAGACCTCCTATCAGACCTACTTAAAACTTCCTAAAACCTCCTAACAGACCTCCTATCAGACCTCCTAACAGCCTCCTACAGACCTCCTAACAGACCTCCTAAAAGCCTC